TAGTAGTAGTAGTAGTCGTCGTAGTCGTAGTAGTAGTAGTCGTAGTCGTAGTAGTAGTAGCAGTAGTAGTAGTAGTAGTAGTAGTAGTAGTAGTAGTAGTAGTAGTAGTAGTGGTGTTGAACCCCGTCTTTTTGCCCAATGGCGCGCCTGACGCCGCTGGCGCGCCTGGCGCGCCTGGCGCACCTGGCGCAACTGGCGCACCTGGCACACCTGGCGCACCTGGCGCCGCTGGCACACCTGGCTCACCTGGCGATCCTGGCGCGCCTGGCTCACCTGGCGCGCCTGGCGCGCCTGGCGCGCCTGGCGCGCCTGGCGCACCTGGCGCACCTGGCACACCTGGCGCACCTGGTGCACCTGGTGCGCCTGGCGCGCCTGGCGCACCTGGCGCACCTGGCGCGCCTGGCGCGCCTGGCGCATACGAAACATATGCGGCACGTGTACCACACATATACGAAACATAGACGAAACATATACGAACCCTATACGAACCATACGCGACACGTGTCCGAAACATCTGCGAAGCGGACACGAACCATACACGAAACATACACGAAACATGTACGCAACATATACGAACCATATGCTACACGAAATAGACACGAACCATATACGAAACACACGCGAACCATATACGAAACATTTGCGAGACATATACGAAACACATCCCCAACGGATACGAATTGGATACGACACATATACGAAATACATACGAAACGTGTACGAAACGTATACAAAACACATACGAAACACCTGCGAACATATACGGCACATATACGAAATAGATACGACATATATACGAAACATATACGTACCACATACGAAACATATCCGAACTACATACGAACTATACACGACGCAGGTGCGAAACATATGCGAACCATGTACGGAACATATACGAAACAGGTGCGAAACATACGCGACACATCTACGGACCAGTTGCGACACGCACACTCAACATATACGGACACCTATGAAACGTTTACGAAACAGATACGACACACATACGACACATATGCGGCACATATGCGAAACATATACGAAGTATTTACGAAACACTCACGAACCGTCTACGACACGTATACGAAACATATACGAGACACGTACGAAACGCTTACGAAACAAACACGAACCATATACGAAACATGTAGGACACATATACGAAACGTATACGAAACGTATACGCAACATATACGCAGCATATACGACACATCTACGAAACAGATACGAAACAAACACGAATCAGATGCGAAACATATACGACATGTGTACGAACATATTCGATCCATATACGAAACATACACGATACATATACGAAACATTTACGAAACGTATACGAACCGTATACGACATATGTACGAACATATGCGAAACATATACGAAACAGATACGACACACACACGAACCATACACGATACATATACGAAACATATACGAAACATAAGCCAACCATCTGTGAAACATATACGTAACATATCCCAGCCATAGACGAAACGTATACGACACATATACAAAACATGTACGAAACATCTACGATACGCTTACGAAACATACCCGACACATGTACGACACATATACAACACCTATACGAAGCAGATGCGAAACATATCCGAAGCATATACGAAACATATGCGACACCTATACGACACATATACGACGCATTCAGGAAACATATACGAAACATATTCCAAACATATACGAATCATATACGAAACAGGCACGGGACGTATTCGACACATTTACGACACATATACGAAACATCATACACGAAACGTGTACGAAACATATACGAAACAAATACGAAACGCGCACGGTGCGTCCGCGGCACAGAATCCCCACCGCACACCTTGCACTCCTTGCGCCAGCTTAATGGGCAAATAGAATGATGCCAGCCCTAGTAGTAGCTGTAGTAGTAGCGGTAGTAGTAGTAGTCGTAGTAGTAGTAGTAGTAGTAGTAGTAGTAGTAGTAGTAGTAGTAGTCGTCGAAATAGTAGAGTAGTAGTAGTAGTAGTAGTAGTAGCAGTAGTAGTCGTAGTAGTAGTGGCAGCAGTAGTAGTAGTAGTAGTAGTAGTAGTAGTAGTAGTAGTCGTAGTCGCAGTAGTAGTAGTAGTAGTAGTAGTAGTAGTAGT